ATTTGTTTCCTATCTGTTTGTGGTCGGAAGATTTTTAACAATTAATTTTTAATTTCCTGATTATATTCTTTTACATACGGTACATCACTGGCATAATAATTATTTTTAAAGAAACATTCCTAGATTATTACCTTTAATGCTATGTCCTGTTAAGACTGCCACTCCAATGTCGTCTTCTGCTTCGTACTCAACTCTACCGTTCTCTTCTGGTTTATGACACTCTATTTTTTTTGGAAATCCAAACAGTGGAAAAGACCCGAAGAGATACAATAGACCGGACACCAGTAGACCTATCCACCAAGCTCCAACCCACGATGGATGATTCGAATTGATGTCAATGTCCGTTGTCTCCACCCGGTAAAAATCAACCCATAAGAGAATAAACACTGCTCCCAGCAGAAAACTGAGTATTGTTCCGAAACCGTAAATACTTTGTACTATTCCTGAAAAGTGCAACATATCATGACACAAGGTATGATCAGATTAATTACCAAACAATAGTACAGTATGATAATCTCATTCGAGATCAAGCAAGCAGAAAACAATGCACAGAAAAGGGCGTATCTTATCTCTGACTAGTTTGACCACGTGCGATATTAGTGCTTATGACGATTGGAGATGGTTAAGCTTGTTCAAACTCTGTGATAGCAATTTTTTTCTTACGTCTAAAAAACACATATCCACTTCCTCAGCCTCGTAATGAAACTGATAAAGCTTTATTTCATTTAAGAGGTCTTGTGGTACCAGGAGTGTGAGTGTACCCAGGCCGCCAAGAACCTTTCAAATGGGGTCCAGAGGCCCAACTCCCGACAGCTTTGACAGATAGGAGTTGAAAGGCAGCTTATTTAATCAATTTAAGAGCCTCATAATCTGAGCAGCCAAATCCCAGCGGCTCCTCTTGAAGTCTCAACACATTTCAAATTGCCAACAACCTTTACAATGTCGCAGCCTGGTTTATGCACCCACGTAAGACTTTGCTTGGGTCCAATGGGGGAGGGGGATTTGGTCCCCAATTATCCCAACCCAATACATTGCTTGGCTTGGCATCAGGAACATTCTGGCGTCCCATTACTAAGATTTACCAAATTAAGTCTATTAACCTACCGTCACAGACCCTATATACGAATTCGTATATAGGGTCTGATAGGATCTGTGCTACCTTATAGGCCTAACGTGCTAGTGTATCCGCTTTATAAAGACAATTTAGGAGTTAATTAGATGTCAACGACCAAACTAAAAGTGCATTCAGATATAGCTCCTCTGTTCAGATCTCTTGATTTAATTTCTGTACAGTGAATTTCCCACCGAGACATGTTTAAATTTATGTTAAGTTAGATAATCCTTATCTGTACGTAGCTAAATCTTGCACAAATCGCCATTAGAATCATCATTTCTTAGGTCTAATCGATTAGTCAGATATGAGGCCCGTATCCAGGGGGGAGGGGTATCTGCATGTAGCTAAATCTTGCACAAATCGCCATTAGAATCATCACTTCTTAGGTCTAATCGATTAGTCAGATAATGAGGCCGGTATCCGGGGGGAGGGGGATTTATGGTCTAGCAAACCCACTCTTTTTTGGCTATCCCCCTTTTCAAATTTCCCAAATAAGTCCTCCAACCCTACTAATGCACTGCAGACCCACCCAGACACAGAAGTTTTCTAACCTATCTGCTTTTTAGCATTATTTAGACCAATAAAGCACAAAAATCCTCTTGCTTTGGGGGTTTCGCCGACCCCACTGGGGCTTCGACGGTGGACCTCACGCCCAGAAACCCCCCTCACCCCTTTGGAAGAACCTGGCTACGGGCCTGTTAATGTACACAAAAGTTGGTTATTAGGTTTGCCGCACAAATATAACCACCTCGAATGCAAACTACATGTAGCAGTGGCGGATCCAGGAAGAAATAAAGGGGACCCAAAGAGTGAATTTCACCCACCATGGTTGGGGCTGAGGTAAAATTTATGATTATTGCACCGGAAATAACACTCTTAGACTCAACATTTGATTAGAATTTTCTTTATTTCTCTATTTTTTTATTTTGAAAAATTTAGGGGGCCGGGCCGGCTCCCCCACCCCTCTTGAATCTGCCACTGTGAAGTATATATAAACATATGCTACTATAATGAATGTTAGTAGTAATTATTAAGAGAACCTTTAAAACTCTGACCTACAAGGTACGCTAATTTCGAGAAAAAAAAAAAAAAAAAAAAAAAACACCGATCCGATTAAGACAGGAACACGTGAGTAGATCACCTAATAGAGTATATAATAATTATAGTAGAATAATTTTTACTCATTGGTAACTTCAACCTCCAGTTAATCCCTATTACTGCTACGTACAAATTTGGCATCTTTTACAAGACGGTTGACAGACATTGGCTAGATGGGCATATTGTCATTCGCAGGATTCGACTGTATACTTCTTTTGAAATGTATAAATTTTGGGGTGAACCAAACTGCCTGCAACACCGTCATTATCATACAGGACAATATTATGCATTATTGTCCTGAGGGCACTAGTTTTTTTTTGTTTTTTTCTTTGACATTTAGAAAATTTAGATCACCCACAAGCTTTAACTAGTGAAGACGGTAATGATCCTGCTACTGATGCACTGATAGAGGTGAATGAAATAGTTATAGGCATATATGTTTTACGTACACCGCTCGCTAAATAATGTGCACTACTATTACTAAACTTACCGATATATAAACCTGAAGTTGCCTTCGGCACGCTGTCGTCTATGTACGAAAATCCGAGGGGCATCACTGGTGCTATGCCTATTCCATTTATAAGCATGCCTGTCACAAGTAGATAGAACGCTAATCTTTTATCGGCAGATCGCTGGACACCATCAACTGGACATGATGTCTCGAAGTGAGCATCACAAAGGTATTGGTTATTTGTTATATTGCTATTAATATTACTGGAGTAAGGTTGATTAATAAACTGGGGAAGACACATTACAAACACTCCGAATGCCATTGTTATAACTCCGACCCCGATCCATTTCGGTCGATTACTTGACTGACGGCTACCAACGTGAACTACAAACAGAATAACCGATAGTGTTCCAATGTTATACGAACTAACTATCCAACCTAAGTCCGAGGCCATCAGTTCATAGCGTTGTTCTAATGTCGTCAACATACTGCCTATGGTTCCAGCCGCGTAAGAATCCGCAAATATTACTAAGCATAAGCAAAATGTAAAAAACTTTGCTGATACAAATTTATTGAAACACTTTGATTCTGATTCCACACATAACGGAATTTCTGACGGGCCTTCTGTCCCTGTATTCTTCGAGTCCCCATTCGCCATCATACTTGCTGCCTAAATTTCAATGTAAACCAAAGTCAATTTAATAAGGAACAGCACAACAACTTATTTTACAACACGTGCTATGATTTGATTCCTGCCATTAGACCTTTTAACATTTTAGACATTTAACAAATATCATTGCTATGGCTAGACGGATCTGTTCATAATCGCACTTATTTAAATAATTTCCTGTGAAGTTGCTGTTACTCCACAGCGATAGCGGTTATTACAAATTAATTATTATACGCAATGACTACATTGCAATTGGCTGTGCTATCTTTTCTAAAAAAAACACACACACACAC